GTGTGTGTGTGTGTGTGTGTGTGTGTGTGTGTGTGTGTGTATATATGTGTGTGCGTGCGTGCGTGCGTGCGTGCGTGCGTGCTGTGTGTGTGTGTGTGTGTGTGTGTGTGTGTGTGTATGTAAAACGTATTTTCCTACTATATATATGCCCATATCACATCTTTTTAGATCAAGGAATTTATTCACAAGCGATGAAAGAGGTGATTCTTCCTGTTATAAACGTATCTTTATGCCAGAAGTGGTACGAGACACTGAAAAACATCACAGTGCTCTCAGAGTTCGAATTTTGTGCCGGCTACCAAGAGGGCGGATATGACGCTTGTCAGGTAACGTATTTCCGGTATAACCGTATATTGTAATAATTAAATATAAATAATGATATACGTGAAAGCTGCTCCGTATGCGAAGCAGGTTACATGACGAATAAACGGTTAAACTAAAACATCAACCTAGGTTTATGCTAAATAAATTTAAACTTTATTATTTAAAATAGTAGTAATAGATTAGTTCAAATAGATATGGCAATACACTTATACGTATATTGCATTAACGAAAATGGTCAATAGTAAGGAACTACGGCTAGGAGGCCAGTAGCGCTGCCATAATTCAGCTAACCAATGCGTTCGTGCGTACGTGGTTGCATATGTGCATGCGCGCGCTTGTGTGCCTGTGTGTATGTGCGTGTACAGCGTAACCGCATAAAATAGACTCAAAAAGGTTCTTCGTATACGGAACGTTTAACGCTGGGCGGCTAAACTAAAATATTATCTGGGCGGGAGCCGGCCAGCTGCTTGGAATAATCTGCGAGATTGGGTTCTGCACGATTTTACATTCAAGAGCTTGAGTGTTTTCTCGTTTAACTCGAATTTCCCGAATGTCTTTCTAGGATTTATTCAAGTACTTTATTTGCTATCGATTTAAATTTCCCGTAGGAAGGAGAAGTGTTCTTGGCATTTGCGAATAGACCGCAGGCTAGCTGAACTATATAGCTATACACGAGTAGTTATCAAAGGACAACGTTCGCATATTAGGTTTTCCGCTAACCAAACATCGACGTTTTCAGGTGTGGCCGGTCTGTTATCAACTCGGTTATTAGAAACGCAGTTCTTTTTTTGCTTTTTTTGCAGGGAGACAGCGGAGGACCCGTGCTGCGTTTGAACGACACGTCGAATCGATGGGAGGTGGTCGGTATCGTTAGCTGGGGGTTGAACTGCGGGGAGCCATACACGCCTGGCGTGTTCACGAGGGTACCGGTGTTTGTGGACTACATCAAGAACATCACTGAGCTTCGGTTCTTTCACAGGGACGAAGGAGATGGCTGACGTAAGCGACAGCGAGATGGCGGTCGTGGAGACGTTGCATTATATGCAGCAAAGTAACTATTGTTACGAACGGAATATGTTATGTGAACGTCTTGGGCGGGGATACCTCTAAATCCTTGCTCCTGTTCCTGTTCATTTTACCTTTTTCTACGCGTTTTAACGCGAACCCGCCTGTGTTAGCGAGCGAGGAAGACTACGCATGTCAGTTTACCAAGTGCCCGACAAGGACCTAGGACTCGTTGTCAGAAATAAAAGTATGCCGAGTATTAGCAATAGTATCTTAACATGCACTCATTACTCAATTAACAGACACTCTTAACTTTCTCGCTCTCGTAGACTGGAACTCTTGTTACACATTGGCGTATGAGAAACTCATAACTTTACTATGTTCTGTCAACGGACTACGTGGCAAAGGCAACGTTAAGACTACTTTTGTTTCTGACAACGGGCCTCTGGAGTTTAGATCGCGCCAAAGGCGGTCATTCGTGTTTCGATCTCAAGTATTGCGTTCTTTTCTATCCACAGTTATCCAGATGATCGTACGTAATTTTCTCTATTCATAGAGGAAATAGATTACACGAAAACGGTAACAAGAAAATTCTTGCCAGTGAATATTTAGACATTGAATAAGAATCTTTGTTCACGAAGAATCCTTCCGTTGTTAAACAAGTTGTAAGTTCTGATAAACAACGTACTAAAACAAGCCGTACGCCAGGTGACAAATCACGACTTATTGTAAAAATGATTTTACATCGCTAACGTTAAAATACACGATTATTTACGGCTCGCGGTCTATACGCCATCGGCAGAATTTTACGTGCACATAGAAGACAGAAATAGCTGACATGTTGTTTAACAATACACGGTTTGTTGTGTTTTCGAGTTCGCAAACGTAATGGCGCGGTGCGCCACAGTAGAGATTAAACGAACACAAAAGGACCAGGTATACAAGGGTACCATAGCAAACATGTAATATAGTTACGGTTAGTGTATACATAATTGTTATGATTACGTTTAGAGATAGGCGTAGGAGTAGATATCGTTAAAGTTATAGTCTCCTAACCCTACCCCCTGATGAAGTCGTCATGCGTTTGTTTTTATGTTTGAGAGCAGACGACTCGACACGTCACTCGAGCTATGCTTACATGGCGAATTATACGCACGTGAATTACCTATACAAACCGAGTAGTACAAATCTATTGTTTCTGTACTAGTAGTACACACACACACACACACACACACACACACACACACACACACACACACACACACACACACACACACACACACACACACACACAACACACAC